AATTTGTTTTTTGATCTAGCACCTGTACAAGTTGTTTGTCTGCGCCCAGTATACCTGTTCAGCAATCCATCAATGACTACTGGACTCATAACATTTTGTGTCACAGAGCATTGCAATTTATTTTTGCTCTTTGTGCCTGTTGGGTTTTATTGTATATTTTCTCTTCCTTACTTTGCATTGCACCGTTACTGTTTTGCTCTCTCTGTCTCCACATCTCTCTCTCTGGCTCTGTTTGTCTATTTGCTTCTCTCGCACAGTTTTTCAAAGGATTACAGTGAAATTTGAGGCTGAGGATTATGAAAATCAATGCTGTGTTCAGTTGCAGTGAGGTTAGCTGCTAAGGATTTGTACACAACATGAGGCAGTCAGTGGATATGTTGTCCTCAGCTGCTGTAAGTGTTGAAATGTGTGTAAAGTGGCCTTTTCAGTTGGGAGCCCGCAGACAGTCTGGAGGTGGGGAGGCTTTGATGGGAGGGAAATCGCCAGAAACTAATCAATACTACACATCCTGCTAGGAAAGTACTCTCTCACACACGTTGTGCACACACTTGGATATAGTTCGCACATTTGCAATCACACTGCTACCTTTCATTTAACACTTCTTTACTCCTCTGTACCTCTCAGCAGCATGTGTGAAGGAATGGCTTGGTGTGTGTGAAAAGGAGAATGGGGAAAACAAAGGCTACGGCAAAACGATAGCTGTCTTCTTTATGCATATGAGTTTTTGTGCATGGCTGTCTGCGGGTAGCACTAGGATGTGTTGACGCACTGCAGTCTGGTGGTATAGTGCCTATTGTGGAGAAAGTGAGAGGCCTCATTAAAAATGTATGGAGCACAGATATCAGCCACCGACCAACTGCGGCCTCTCGGGATGGACAACAGTCTGAAAGTGTTCTACGATGGGAGATGAGTGGTGTGCATGTGTGTGTGCATACGACCGTGTTGTTAAGCCTATATTATGTTTTTTGGTGATGGATGTCTGGACACTTGCTCTCAGTTCAGAAGCTGGGAAGACTGTGCTTTGATTCTTTGAGTCTTGCTGCTTCCTTTCATGCTGAAACTGTTCCCATTTAGATACTTTTTATGATAACGCGGGCACTATAATTGTAAGCCTAATCTTGTCTTCAGGGCAGCTTTTGCAAAAATTAAAGCCTGTGCTGTATAATCTTTAAAGGTTAACACAAATGACAAAAAAAAAAAAAATCACTTGCCTCCAGTGGTATCTAGCTATGCAGATAATTTGAGCTTGATTGCTGAGAGTCCTATTTGTAAAATCTGCATCCACCTTAATGCAATGGGATGTGTAATAATCATTGTTTTGATTAGATTGTATATAGAAGACGAACACAACCACTGTGACTACACCCATATGGCTTGGAAAATCAGCACCTTATTTTGTATTGCATTACAAATGTTCCAAAAGGAATCAAACACCAGAAACATGATTAACATGTCCAATCTAATTCAATTCATTTTATTTATGTAATGCCATACTGCAAATTTTGCAAGTAAATGCACAGCTAGTATTTTCACATATTCGGTATAGGCTTTAAATAAAGGTATGTTTTTTTGTTTTTTTTCTAAACAAAAACAAAAAAAATTAACTTATAGGAAAGAAACAAAGTTTCAATCCTATCACAGTTGGTATCAATACAATCAATAAAGTAGAGGTCTCAAAAACTTGGCATTGACATGAGGGTCTAAGGCAGGGGTGTCCATCTTCAGGCTCAAGGGCCAGTGTCCTGCAGGTTTTAGATGTGTCCTTGATCCAACACAGTTGATTTAAATGGCTAAATTACCTCCTCAACATGTCTTGAGGTTCTCCAGAGGCCTGGTGATGAACTAATCATTTGATTTAGGATGATATCTAAAACCTGCAGGACACCCACCCTTGAGCCTGGAATTGGACACCCCTGGTCTAAGGGAATTTACTATAACTTTATATATTGCCTCTGGGCCTGAAAAGTGAAACCTATATGGAAGCACCTTAAACCTGCATTCTTTCTTATGTTTTCTTTATCACATGGCAACTGTTTGCAAAAAGAAGTGCAGTTGTGTAGAACTCTATAGAAAAAACAGGCCCTCAGTTACACTGATTCATTCCCTCAGTAAGCACGTTTCCGAGGAGTCTGTGCTTGTACTAAATACAGCATAACGCTCATTTTGTAAATCATGGTCTCCATTAGTGTAGAATATGATTTAGGGCAGGCCAGCTAAGTTTGAATGTGCAGTGTCTCTCTCATTATTAAGATCCAGCACAAACTCGTGACACCTGCTTTAAAAATCTAAGATCACAGTGGCCAGAATGTTAAGTTGCCAATCGAGGAAATGCAGTTTTTGCTCTTTCTGTGTCTGCTTTATTTTTCACTCCCAGGGGTTGCTTCTTGATCTTGTCCAGATCCATAGACCATTATGTGAAAAGTAAAAACTAAACTAAAACTAGGTCAGTATTTCATCAGTTATTAATCAAACACATATGCTGCTAACGGCATCCTAGCTTGTTTAGCTTGCCATACGATGTAGTTCTTTTGTATTTGACGTCAGTCAGGAAGAGTTTTAAAATAGCATTAGCTGCGTTCGGTTCACACACATTTCTTAAATGACATGTAGAGTTCTGGTACATTTTTAAAGCTACTCTTCATGTTGCAGGAGGAGAAGTCAGTGTCAGGATTTCAGGCAGTTTAGTATATGGTACAATGTGACATTTCTTTGTAGTTTTTCTATCTGAAAATGGAGCTAACTAGCAAGAGAAGGTTGTTTGGTGCACACACGCCAACAGCAAAAACAGAGTGAACAGAGAGGGCTTTTTTTTTCATTTTTTTTTTTTACAGCTATATCAAATTGTGTGTCATGTCTGTGGTTGTGCATAGATTCAGACTGTTATTTTTGTACCCCTAATTAGAGACGAAAACTGGCCTTTTTTCTTGTCATTGGTGAGAAATGGTATTTGGAATCACAGCGTTACAGTTTCATTGAGCAGCCCTCAGGAGCGTTGGGTCATTCATAGTTGTGGCAGCTCACCTTCAGTGTCATGTGGGATTTTGGATGTCGGCAGCCTCAACACAAGCGCGTCCTCTCTGATGCATAACGAAGCCTTTCTTCACATCATTCTTACTTTGCTGATCCATCATTACAACAGTAGCTGAGCGCTGCCACACTCTGCTGCACGGCGTTTCAATCAACATCAATGTCAGCAGTACGAATCATCACGGCTGATTGTCAAGGTGTGTGTGTGAGTGCATGTGTGCGCGTGCGTGTGTGGGCATCTGTTTATGTGTTGGCGGGCGCCCATGTGGGCGTGTATGTAAATGCTGCTGTAAGACAGCTGAATGCCTGTGCTTTACTGAGAGCTTGGCACCAGGGGAAAATGAAAAGGCCGGGAGAATAATGACAGATTTATAATTACAGAATCTTGCGTTCAGCGCTACTCAGCAACTGTCTGGGGAAGGCAATCTGGCTGTAATTTTTGCTGATCAGGCCTGTCACAGACTTAAGGGTCACACTACACTAATGCCGAAATACACACACACAAACACACAAATATGCACATGCACGCAGGTGTGCGCGGTGCTTCGCTCTCGCTGTCATTTATGCAGATGTCAGGCCGGGAGAAGAACGCAAACAGACACACAAACACTCGCACTGAAATTTAATCGAAAATTGTGGCACGCCAGCAAATTGCCTGGTTAATTTGCAAGAGCTAAAAGCATCAAGTAAGCTCCAGATTCCTGGAGAAATTGATGTTTTTTTCAGTCTGCCACAAAAACACAGCAGAAACGCCAGCTCGGTGGAAGAAAGCAACAAATTCATTATGTAGAGAAATGTCTGTGAAGGTTCTCAGTCATCCAGGTCATCGTAGTCAAAGGAGCTTGCAAAGAAAAGTGTCTGGACTTCTTTAAGTTACTTGAAGACGTTTCACCTCTCATCCGAGAAGCTTCTCCAATCTCAGGAATTCACATGATAAGGTGGGGCCAGGTTTCACAATGAACTCACCCGAAACTCTGGCTGATTGGGACCCACACCCAGTTTCACACCTTGGCTCAGGCGATTAGAGGATCATCAGGGGGTCCTTTTGTCCCTCTGTGGGGGGATACTCCCACTAGGTTTATATCTGGGACTCTCCACCATTTGACCTTAGAACTGAAGAATGAGAGGTGAAACGTCTTCAAGTAACTTAAAGAAGTCCAGACGCTTTTCTTTGCAAGCTCCTTTGACTATGTAGAGAAAACAAACTCGCTAATTTTAGAGGTGAAAGATCAGGCCTTTAAACTACTTTGCTTCGTTTAAAAAAAAAAATGTAGGTCACACCTTGTGATGCCTGCCTCGCATCTCGAGCCCATCATTATGATTTTGTGAATTTCTAAGCAGGTTTAAGTTTAGTTGAAGGACGTTATATTAGCTTGTTATAAAGCCAGATACAAGAAACAAGCTTTTCTGCATAGTACAATGGATTTTCAACAATGGCATTGGCATATTAACATATAAGTTGTTATTATTTTACATTTAAGCTATTCTATCTTATCTCCAATGAATTCCACACCCGACAGCTTGAATTGTATGTGAGTGTGTGCTGTTTTCTCCACAACATTAAAATGCACTGCTTTGTTATCTACAGTTCTTTCATTATTAATTGCTTCCTGCCTTTGTAAGAGAACATCATTTGTCAGTCAAGCCCTCGGTGCAGCCTCTCTCTTTTTTTTTTCTTTTGCAGAAGTTAAATACATTTGCTATTGTGTCAAATTGAATGAGCCGAAACCCCAGTTTGAACAGGATTACTATGCATGGTCCAGCATTCTGTCTGAGTGCAAATGTAGGGTTTTTTTGCTGTCTTACCTTTAATCCCTGAATGAATTTGTCTCTGGCAGCCAAACACACAAAGCAGCGTTTCCAGAATAAGGATTCTCTCATTTTTATTAATATTTCTGTTTTCATTATTTTAGATTTTTGACTTTGATAATCAGAAGGTTTGCTGTAACATGGATATTTGTTTTGTTCGTTAGGTGTGTCTGCAACATCGACTGTTCCCACATCAGCTTCAACCCAGTGTGCGCCTCAGATGGTCGTTCCTATGACAACCCCTGCCAGGTGAAGGAGGCATCCTGTCAGAAGCAGGAGCGCATCGAGGTCAAGTACCTGGGCCACTGCCACGGTCAGACTCTCAAATGCACACTAGCACACTGACTCTGAAAGGCACAACAACACTTTCACAAACGCAGCGGAAGCCGTCAGTCTACCTCCAAGAACAGGTGTTTGCGTCACGTTGGAGTGAAAACACGGAGGCAAATGAGGCATCGTGCAGAGCTAAATGCAGGCGGCGTGATTTTGCATCTCCCTCCAGCTGCAGTTCCAGCCACATTTTATAATTACAGAAAGTTTCACTCAATCAAATTTTGGAATGGTGTGGAAAGATAATCCTCAGAGCCGCTGCTGCTACATATACAGATAATTTTACACAATGTTAATCCCTCCTTTTTTTAATGTAGTATCTTTGATTTTGGCGCACTATTTCCGGGGATAAAGTTGTTTTTTTATTAATCTCAGTGCTTTAATCCTTAAACTGAGTTATAGTTCGAATACATGTAGAAGACAGAGACACACAAATGTGTTTTTATTTCATTTAATGTCATTTAAGGTTTGTGTGGTTTAAAACCTAAAATCAGTATTATACTACTGAGTATTCTTGACTATAATGGAACTAAATGGTATTCATGTGGAGCTCCAACTAGCAATATATAGCTTTAGTTATAGATATGAAAGATTTGAAGCACCAGATTTCCATGGACCTTTTTTGTCCAAGCTGAATCTGCTCAGCAAGTCATGCCCTTAAAAACACAGTTCCTTTCAGTTTAAAGTTTGTTAGAAAAATCTTTTCAGACTATCACAAAGGTTTGAATTAAACCAGATTTTAACAATTAGCAATTTTTTTGCTATTCTGCTAATTCTGTTGAATAGTTGAAGGTTAAATTTTGTTCAAAATATCAAGTATAGTAGACTTTAGATAACTGTTGTGATTTGAGGCTATATAAATAAAATTGAATTGAATTTAACTTTTAAATCACACCTGAGTTGTTTCAAAATTGCAAATGCACATCTTAATACAAAATTTGATTTAACTTTTATTTGGTTGCTTCAAGCAACCCCAGTTACTCAAACCAGTCATTACAACCAATACAGAAGATCTCACCATATTGGACAACAGAAGATAAGGAAAACGTTACCTGGTCCGTTGAGTCTCGACTTCTGCTGTGACTTTTGGATGGCAGGATCAGAACTTGGTGTAAACAACATGAAACGATGGATCCATCCAGCCTTGTATCAGTGATTCAGATTGGTGTTGGTGGTGTAATGGTGTGGGGGATATTTTCTTAGCACTTTATGTCCCTTAGCACCAAGTGACCATCGTTTAAATGTCCATCCATTTATGATCATAGTGTTTCATCTATTGCTTCCAGCAGGGTAACACACCATCTCCCAAAGCTTCTTCAGTCTGTGAAGTGAAGAATTAAGGCAAATGTGGGTTCTACCCAGTACTAGCAAGGTGTACCTAATAATGTGTCCAGTGAGTGTATATCCATGGCCTGTAGACAGTCAAAGCTTAGTGTCCTCAGAGGCGAAGGCAGCACAGTGGTGCAGTGCTTAGCACTAACCTCTTAGCCAGAAAGTCTTGTTTTCTGGTCTGCTGGTCATCTGAACACTTTGCAAAGGTGTTGAGGAGAATCAGTGTCAGCCTCACTTTCCAGTTTACTGTGGCTCTCTTCTCATTATGTAACAGACTTTACTGCAGCCTGAGCTTGCCTGCACACTTTGTGGCTGGTCACCACCACCAACATTCACTTTACCGTAGTCGCAGCTAATTCCCTTGCACTCTGTGAGAGACTCACTTCCCACAGCGAACCCACTAAGTCAGACTGAGTCACTCACCAGATGCAGTTAGGCTCTGTTAAGATGTTGAGTGAAGCACTAGAGATGGACAGCGCGCTGACGACCTTATTCTTACTTTAATTATGGATTTGTTGTCTGTTGTTTTTATTGCTGCCTTCTGTGGGCTGTATGTACACGTAAGACTGCTTTGCACTGAGAGCATTATGTTTTCCAAAAGCCCATGGAAATGTAAGAAGTTTCATTTTGGAATTATTTTAGGCATTATTTCCAGTCTATACAAGAATGCAACTCGGTAACCTTGTAGCTCAGCTCAGCGCAGAAACATCAGTGTTTATTGTCACAAAAGCTTCCTTTTGCAGATTGATACACCTGACACATGTCGTTTGGTAGCGGAAAAAAGTTCATACATAAAGTAAATCCTGTTGTGAGTGCTTTTTTTTTTTTTAACCAGGTGATGATTTCTAGAAATAGTTGCTGAGTTTTTAAATAAAGCTTTTTCAGAGAGTCATTTAGTTCCATTATGTGAAAGAAGAGACAGAAATCTCCCAAACTAGGTGATTTACACCTAAACATTCTAAAAGAAACACTACAGGCTTTGATTCTGGAGTCAAATGCACCTTTTAAGATCTGTAGTTATTTTTTTAGTGTAAGAGACCATTTGAGAGGTTCTAAGTACACACAGGACAAATAGGTCTTTTGAGAAGTAATGGGAAGTAAAGCAATCAGGGCTAACGAGCTCTGGAACACAAACAGAAATCTGTATTCCCTCATGTTATGTCCTGTGGGTCAGACCACCCCGTTTGATTCTGTTTCAATCAAGGAAAAAGACAAATAGCATGAAATGGAGGCACTGAGACGACCTCATGTTAGCAAGGACTCACAGTGACACCCCGGCACTTAGATGGCTGATTATGCTCCACTTTCATGCTATTAGGAAACGGCTTCTGCTACAGTAGCTCAACAAAAAGCGCAGATAACCTTGTGAAGATATTGTTGAACCTCAGCTCCACAGACAAATTTAACCAGATACTCGTTGAATCCACTGGAGCTGCAGTCTGTTGAGCTTGTAGCGTCTCGCCGCTGGCTACGTTTTAAAATTCATTTGTTTTCTTCATTTGATTTTTCTTAAGTGGATGTCACGCATACGGGACTTGAGCTTCTGAACTCACTGAAATCTTTCTGAGTCTCTTTTCTTTTACTGTGCCTCGGGTGTTCTTGTGAATAAAGAAATAAATAAAAGAGGAAAAATAAGAAGTAAATTCTAAGTCACAGATCCAGCCACAAGTCTTGCGTCATGAATCTGAAGAATGCTTTCACAGCTTCTGTTTGAGGGAACGATCGTACTGACCTCTGGAAAAAAAAGGAAAAATCAATCGCAATAAAATGATAATGATTTGAAGGTGATTTTGTCTAGCCATTGTGAAAAGTAGAACTCGATGCAGCGTCAATGGGGTGAGCAAAAATGCATTATTCCGTCTGATCTTTTCCACCCGACTCTGCTCCATTCTGGCCTTTGTTCGGTGTAATACATTAGGGGTGGCGGTTTCTGACTTGAAGAGAATGGCTCCCATTTATACGCATTAAGCACACAGGCGCACACGGCACATGAACCTTTTGTTGAAATGATCATTCACATTCAGTCCTCTTTACCTGCAGTAGCATCACTGTGCATGAGTAACCTGCGATGGAGCTGTAGGAGAGGTTGCGGTGACCTGAGCTCAGCTTTAATGTGTCTTTGGCCTTTCCAGATGACATAATTGGGAACAAAGGCGGAGATGGACACTTCGCACGGACCGACCCCACGGGTGAGTGCTTCCGTGATGGTGGCAGATAAGCACATAACATGTGCTGTCATTCAAAGATGAATTAGAATTGCTCCCAGACTTTCCTCTGTTCGTCATCCTTTCATGTTTCCCACTTGTTATAATTCATCTCTTCCTGAGGGGCAGTGGCAGATTTTAAGGGTCTCGTGTGTTTGTAGGGGAGAAAGAGGAGACCAGGAACGGACTGGCCCGCGGTTTGTCCATCCCCTGTCCAGATCGCTATAAAAACTACTGCGTCCATGGAGAGTGTCAGTTCCCCAGCGTCCTGGCTCAGCCTTCCTGCAGGTACACATGTACACATGCGCGCACACACACACACACACACACACACACACACACACACACACACACACACAGTTGTAGAGAGGTTCATAGGAAGAGGGGAAACAGAAAAACGACAATGATATTGCAAAGTGATAATACATGTTTTCGCACATGAACAGCGGATAACGTCAGGAGAATTAAATCAGGAGCTTTTTCGTGCTCCTCCTTTCTCACATGCAACACACTGCAGGAGATAGTCTGTTTCACAGATGCGTTCTCACTTCTGGGAATTTGATTAATGCTGCAGTCACACCAGTGAAAATAGGCATGACCAAAATCATTGGGTCTGTGTGCAGTGAACTCGGAATCTCTTTGCTTTTGAATTAGCTGCTTCGAAGACCATTCGCAGTCAGCTGCCGTCTTCAAAGCGACTTTGGTGCAGCGACATGACGCTTAAAAGTGGCGGTAAGATGGAGTCCGTCTGCTGTTAGTTTGCACTGAATGGGGTCAAGTTGGCAATTACAGGCAATCTGTGGGGTGATAAAACGGCAATTAAGTGTGATAAAAAAAAAAAAAAAATCGCAAATCTGTTGCCATCTGTTGCAAATCTGTTGCACAGAAATTCACATTAACCGCTTACATTCAGAAGCCAACCACAATCCCAAAGATCTGAAGACGTAATAAATTCAGAAATTCTCCACACATGGTCATGTAGTTGCTGCAGGATGGTCATTTAACTGTAAAATAACTTGGTGGGCCTCTGGGTGATCAGTTAACTGCTGCAACTACTTGCAATCGGTCCCTGAATGCAAACAAAAAAAAACATAACTTTGTTCAAGTCACAGGTAAGATGTGCAGGATCAGTATACAAGCCAGACACTCGCCTACCTGCTCTGTTGTTGTATGAGCACAACAGGTCACACAGACAATGCACAGAGCAGGTAAAAGGCTGTTTAATTTTTGATGTCAAATTATGATATTTGCACTTGTTTGGTTTCATTTCTGGGCGTTCTTTAGGTTAGTGTCGGTGCCTAACGTAGCTGACCACTGTCTCATTATCTCCGTGAGGGTCTGGCTTCTGGCTTTTGACATTTGCCATGTCAAAAGCCAGGCATCTCGTGTCTTCCCATGACCACGAGATGCCTCCCACATAAACTGGTCACTCTCTATCGCTGGTTACCAATGATAACAGGCTTCTGAGTTCTGAGTTAGCCAGTGGAGGAAGCCTGTTGGTGGTGTGTTGTGAGACTGACAACAAATGTGGTTTGCGTCTTAAGCAAAGATACACATGTGACATTTCAAGTTGCAACATTTGAACACAAGTTTGACATTCTGACTTAAAAGCTAGCCAGCCCACCATTGTTTTCTCAATATGATGTACTTGTAGCAGAGTATTCTGGATTGTAGATGGTATTAACTATTATTTATAATGAGAGAAATGGATTTTAAAAAGCTTCCCGTCATCAATTTTATATTTATGTTAACTATTACGATCAGAGCATTGGCCATTTTCTACTTATCAGTCGAGCATACCGTACTCATTAGGTTTCCACTCAAACAAACAAACCCTACACGAAGCGCCAGGCCCGTTCTGTCTTTTTTATCACAAATTTGTTGTTCCTCTCTCTCTGTGTGATCTGCAGACACTAACAGGAAGTGTGGAATGTAAGACGGCTAATCAGCTGTAAAATTTAGAAATTGCTTGGCAAGTGCTGGAGCAAATTTATTTTTTAATCAGCCTTGTTTATTTTAAATGAATATAAGCCAGTGCGCTGAGAGCGAGAAGTGTTTAAGATCCCTCCTGCTGTAATGGTAGGACGGGCTGTTGACCAGTCAAATATGCTGCACTGCTTCAAATTAATCCCATGTTGGGTTTGTTGTTGCTTAATGAGGATGCTGGTGTTTCCATCCCCATGCTTTATGATCTAGGGTCTTATTTTGCGGTGTGCGGTGGGCTTCAGGTCTTGGACCCACAGACTTTGTGCCATCTGCAATCACGCCTTTGACTGTGGTTCACATCCATACAGCACACAGTAAGAGGCTGAAGGGGGATATATACATATCAGAGAGGGTTGTGATTACAGTTTTTTTTTAAAGTGTCAGCTTCTGTCTTCTGCTGCAGCTGTGCTATTCACAGACAGTCAGGGATTTTTCTCAGCTTAGAATGAGCCTTTGGGGAGGTGCACTCCTGAGGATGAGCGAGCCACTTATAATAAAGGCAGTGAGTCTGGTTTACCTCACTGGACAGAAATCAGTGCATTTCCTGCTATTTTTGGTCGTTTGATAAACAAAAACCTATCAAGATTTCACAGTATTGAAAATAATACCCTAGGGCGCTCTAAATATCCTGGTTATTAAGCTTGAGTAAATGGAGCCCAATTAATAAAACGCTTTAGAAAAATAATTTAATTAGAATGCCAGTGATTTTCCTTTGGCTCACAGCGAAAGTGGTTCGAGAGGATAGCCTGCATTTACAAAAAACCCTGAATACCTTAACAATCCCAAAGACACTCTGGGAATTCATATTGTTGTCTGCACAGCGCAGAGAGGCACAGCCTAAGCCCGCACTGCCACAGAAGTGCAGATGGCGTGTGTTTTATTGGTTTTACTGAATTTGTATAATGATGGCAGAAACTTACAGTAAAAAATTAATTGTAAAAAAACAGAGTAATTTGCAGTATACGACTGCATCACTTGTTATAGGATGCGATTTGAGTTTTAATTCGACTCCAGCTCACATCATAAATGGTTACATTGTGTCATGAAATGTAACACAGCCATGACTGCTTTGCAATGCGCTTAACTTTTACTAAAAGAGAGAGTTGGAAAGGAGGTTTTATTTGAAAAATATTTTAATCCAGTATCTGATCATAACCTGAATGAAAAGTCCCAACAGACCAGTTTGCTGTACTGTATGTGGAGCAGTGGTGTAGTCTATTTTACTGTAGTAGGCATACTCCCTCGCAGTAATGTATACGCCATGGAGCAGCACCTCATAAACACCAAACTCCCTAACACCCAGAATATACAGGCCAAGTGAGATAGATGTCCCACTTTTTCAATAGCTGTAATGGTCTGACAGCTGTTGACATCCAACATATTCTATAACAATTTACGAGTCTGAAAGTCTACAATAACTGGTCGTAAACTAACTATACTCTTATTTGCATATAATTATTGACTTTCAGTGTGTAATTCCAAATGCTTATATCATATGGGAGAATGCTGCTGTTGTAGAGCACTAAAGAAGCACCAGTTGCAGCATTCTGAAAGTATCGGCCGGCGATGGCCTCTTATTCTTGGTTCTTTAATGAGCTAGTCTGCAAACTGCCATCTTATCAGAATTGAGGTGGATTACATCTGACAATGTGCCACTCTAAACAAGTGTAATATATATTTTTTGACTAGAACTAGTCACAAACTGTTCAGTTTTTAATAGTTTAATGTCTGCTTGAAAATTGAAGTAAAATAACTGGGTAAATTAGCATAATAGTTAATTCCATTATCGTGTTTCTGTTCATTTGCAAAACAAAAGAAAATCACTCAAATAAAAGTTCTGTCAAAAAATACTTCCATCCACCATTTTTCTCAACTGGTTATCCAGTTCAGGGTCGCAGAGGGGAGGAGCTTATTGTAGCTGTCATAGTGTGAGTGTCACCAGTCATCTTCACATTCACATCCACACCAATTTCAAAATCTCCAATTTATAATCTCGCATGCATGTCTTTGGAGTTTGGGAGAAAGCCAGAGCGCCTCGAGACCCCTGCAGGTTCAAGCCATTTTCTAGGGTGCAGCCAAGGGTTGGAAGGTCTCGGGTACGACGGTCTCGGATCTCATCTCTGCTTTTTGCAGATGATGTCGTTCTGTTTGCTTCATTGACCCATTACCTCCAGATTGCACTGGGCAGTTTGCAGCCAAGTGTGAAGCATCTGGGGTAAAAAGTAGCATCTCCAAGTCTGAGGCCATGATTCTCGGCCGGAAAAGGGTGGAGTGCCGACTACTGGTTGCCCTTGAGTTGCTACCCCAAACAGATGAATATCTTATGTAAGTATCTTGGGGTCTTGTTCATGAATGAAGGAAGAATGGAACAAGAGACTGACAGATGAATTAGCACAGTCATCAGTGATGAAGAAGCTGTTCCAGTCTGTTGTGTTGCAGAGCGAGCTGAGCATGAAAACAAAGCCGTCAGTCTATCAGTTGATATAATCCCACCCTCACCTGTGGTCAGGTTATCTGGGTGGTGATGGACAGAATGAGAATGGAAACAAATGGTGGAAAAGCGATTCCTCTGTAAGGTGTAGAAGCTCAACCTAAGAGATCAGACATTCGGGGGGGGGGACTCAGAGTAGAGTTACTACTCTTCCACAACAAAAGGACTCCATCACAATGCTGTGGGCATCTGATCTGGATGCATCCTGGGCACCTCCTAGGTGAAGTGTTTCAGACATATCGTACTATGAGAAGTCCCTGGACCGACTCAGAACACACTGGCTTGGGAATGGTTTCGTATGCCCCCAGAAGAGCAAGAGAAGCATGAGAGGATGGATGGATGGATGGATGGATGGAGATGTCACATTGTTATATACAAACATTTTTAGTTTTTAGTTTTCCATCTTTGGGTGTGATCGTACAGCTGAAGCACTCAGTTTTGTAGTTGTTATGCACACAGACTACTCTGTTGCCTGAACTTTGATCAGTACAATGCTCGTGTCTACCTGCCCATTTTCTTTGTGACAAAAATATAGCCCAAAAATAAAGGAAAGGGAGGACATATCCTGGGGCATTTTAAGCAGCTACAGAGAAATCCAGGCATCTTCTTGGTGCAGATGTGGTATAAAGCAGTAAATCATGTAGTACTACACCAGTGATTTGTGGGGATGTGTGGTTACTTTGTAGCAGCCTAGTGTCATTTGCATGTAACTGTGTACAAGTGTGCGTAATAGCTCGGCGCTCTGGTGTTGCTGTGCTCTAATCATAAACTGCAGATGTATCAACATATCTGTGCCGCTGCCTTCGGATGG